TAGAGTCGTGTTCGAAAATTTGATTTGCTACCGGAAATTGGATTGAAGCGTTAGAAAAAGCTTCACGCGAGTGTTAGAATAGTTATACGCAGACGAACGACTTCCGTCTTACGCATTGCGTTTGCGAGTTGTCTTCGCTGTGTCGCGAGTGATTAAATTCGCGCGAGTGACCTTAGAGTCAGTGAAATCCGATTTTGAAGTGAAAAGTGCGCAAAGAAAATTGAAAGGGGCTTAGGCCTAAGGCAACCCCTGCGCGAAATTTTTTCCAGAAAGAAAAACAGAATATTTTCGTGATCGTATATATTTTATGTATTTATTGTGTCAAGCAAAAACGAAAACGGGCTTAGGCCTAAAGGAACCTCTGCGGAAAATTTTTTTTTGTGCATAAAAACTTGGAAATTTCCATGATTCATGATTCCCGAGTGAATTTAAGTCTATAAGACGTGATTTTGATAAGAACGCAGAGAGTCACCACAATTAGAAACTGTGAATTGCGAATAAATTGCTGAAAAATAACATAAAAGATTAAAGTAAATTCAGAAATTCAAAAATGATAAGTATATTGAATACGAGACGTCTAATCAGGGCTTTTCTGCTACTGATATGCCCAGTTTTGCAATTTTTCATAGACATTTTGCAAATTTTTCGCAATTTTTTGGATCAATACGCTGATTCGATAAAAGATACTATTAGACCCGAATAAATGTAATGCATGTTGTCATATTGAGCGAATGGACGCATGTTCAAAAGTTTTTTAAGCCATGAAAGATAGTAAAATTCGTGAATGCTAGTAGCGAAGTTAGTCAAAATTAAAAGTCCGAAAAAGGATATATTTTGCGCGAGAATTCTGTGTAAAGGATCTTTCCAACGCAAGAAATTAATAAAGAATTTTCATTTCCATACCCACGATCCGACACACAGTGCAAAAACATAAATTTTGGGATAACATAATATTTACGAGCATTGCATCATCTCGTACGAGTAGGAAAATTCCTGACGCGCAAACAGATACGCAGTTGTGTTTTTAGAAACGTATGTTGACGAGCGGCACGCTTTGATGTCGACTCGATTGGCTTAAAAGGTTTTGTCCAGATACCGCTCTTAAGTATAAATATTGACCACAGTCGGAAAAGTATTGTCCAAAGAGGACGCCGACAAAGGGCAGTCGACAAAGTATTGTCCTAACGAATTAGTTACGCTTCGTTGAACGTAGAAAAGGACGAAGATATATTAGTAGGATAAAGATAGACATATTGTGGATAGCACGATGCCGAGGAAAGCAAAGACACCTCGTAAGGGTAAAAACGCCACAGAGGATAACGAGAACGGGGATATTGTGGTAATCCCGAATGCCGCGAACGTAAACGCAATGACGTCGGATGATAGGACGCCGCGAACGTCGAAAATAACACCATTACGATTGGTGGACGGAACCGCGAGTGAACCAAATATAATAGATGCCGATACCAGCGTTACGGAGAATCGCGACACGGCAACACGCGTGGACGACCGAGACGTAAATAGTCCTAATGTGGATATCATAAACGCGTTGTTAGCTAGAATAGATACGATGGAGAAAACGATATCGCTGCAGCGTAGTAGCGGGACACGCGAGCCAAACCAAACGAACGCCGAGTCGGTGGCGAGTAATAGCGCTGCATTAACACGACAAACGGTGGATATTGTTGCCGCGAAGTCAAGCGAAATGACGCCGGCGAATATAGATATTCGTTTGCCACGAGGTGGCTGGTTACAAAATCCTTTTATGGATATTTCATACTCCGCGATACGCAGAACCCTATACGTTTTATTCAGAAATTCGAAAGAACCGTGACGTACGAGAAGGTTACGGATGTGGACAAATTACACTTTTTCGCGAAATCCATGCGAGGATCCGCGAATTTGTGGTTCGAACTCAACGAACCCGAATCATACAAGGCGGCAATACGACTATTCCGCGAACATTTTTGGAGCGACGACGAGCAGAGTGAATTCCGCGAAGTAATGTATACAGTGAGATATCGAGCGGGTAATAATACGATGACTATGTCGGAATACGCGTTGCACATGGCACGCCAAGCCAAAACGCTCGAACCACCTATGTCGGAAGCTGAAATTATCTGCGCAATAAAAAGACATTTCTCGACGGATGTCGCGCGTGAAATCAGACCGACAACTGTGAGTAATTTACAAGATTTGATTAAAATACTAGACTCTATAGAGTCCGAACGACAATTAGGTCGGGGCAATAATGACACAAGGCGCGTAGATACGCGAAGCGCGAGTAGCGCGAACAGAAACAATTTTCGGGTAAATACCGGTAATCCGAACGCAAAATTCGATAATAACTATAACGCGAATAGGTTCAGTAATGATAGAGCGTTGGTATACGCGAACCAAGCGCCATTCTACGGTAGTAGAGCCGTTATACCCAAGTTGATGGGGAACTCGTATAAAACAAATCCGCGAGCAGGCGCTGAAGGTAAGTCTGCGCCACAACAATTC